TCTTGTGACACATTCTAATCGTTATTTTAACATTAATATTTAACAATAGTTCAGAAAATATTCTTAACTATTTTCAAATGGTAACTAATACTATTTAAATCTTTCCTTTCGAAATAGAATGCATAAACCAATAATTAAAAATAATAATTTGTAAATTCTCACATGTACAAACATTTTTATCTTACAATCATATATTCAACGAATTATTGTTAATTTTTTTACAACATAATCTTGTGAAACATTCTAATAGTTATTTTACCATTAATATTTAACAATAATTCAAAGAATATTCCTAACTATTTTCAAATGGTAACTAATACTATTTAAATCTTTCCTTTCGAAATAGAATGCATAAACTAATAATTATAAATAATAGTTTCTATAAATTCTCACGCATAGACAAACACAAACGCATGATCGAAAAATCCTTCTACCTATCCATATATTTTTTAGAATCGAGTTGGTTAAACGATCGACAATGGTCCTTGAAAAATTCTCGACTAGTCTATAACACACACACACACACACACACATAGAAAAAAAAATAAAAGAGATTTTACGTTCGTCGTCCTTCGAAAAATCGAATCTTCTTATTGAATCGAGCAAGGATCGATATAATAGATCGAAAGAATCTTGAGGATTCCCAAGAATCGATTCTAAGTTAATACACAATAACACTTTGCTTTTCCTCAATAACTGCATTAAACTATCACAAGTATTCACACACACACACACACACATATACATAAAATTACAAGTACACTTTAGCAATAGCGTTAATAACTTTGAACAAACATACACACACACAAACACTTTACACGTATACTTTAACAATGCATTGACAAATATACCCATGTACACATACACACATATGAAATAACACATAGAATTTACACTAACATACTTAAAAGAAGAAGAAGATAAATAAACGTATAGAAATGTGTATGTGTATTATTTCAGTTTCTTAGATTCATCGAAGGCACGCGACACGTACAAGTCACGCACGAACACATGCTCACACGTG